GAGCGGAGACGAGAGAGGGGCGTGTGTTGGCACTGTCGCTGCTCACAGCTCTGTGTGTCGTCCCCAAGGCCGCGGGCGCGGGCAGGGCGGGCAGGGCCAGGGCTCTGACCCCGCTGTCCCTGTCAGCAGACTGCTCCTGGAGAAGTGAAGGGAGCGCATCTGCGACGTGGACCCGGTCCTCACGCCTCCCGGTCCCCTGGGACTCCTCCAGCAGCTCTGCCCTGCCATCTTCTGCGTGGGCAGCGAGAAGTCCTGTCTGCGGTGCTGCTGAGGCCGTGGGTGACACAGCAGCTGCTTCCACAAGGGCGCTAGCGAATCTCACCACCTTAGCTGGGAGCTGAGGAAGTTACCCATCTTCCATTGAGCCAGGCCTAGTGACAAGGAGCTCACTGCTCTTGAAAGAACCCACTCTGGCATTCGCACTGTACAGAGAAGTGACTTCCCAGTGGTTTTGAAAAGAATCCTGGAATTCGAAAGCCCAGCGGTAACCCCTCTCTCGTGCTGGAGAGACAGCATTTCCTTGCTCATTCTCAGTCGTTCATCATTCCTCTCATTTTATCGGGTGCTTTCAGAGGCAGGTGTGCAGATCCAGGACCGCACGTTGCACACCGCTGTGTGTGTGAACGAGGCCCTGGGGCGTGCCCAGGCCCCGGCCTGGGCGTGTGGGGCCTCCCCATCAGGCAGTGACCGGGGATGACGTTAGGTGCAGTCACTCGCCAGCGCGTGGTTCCCGCCCTGGTGCGTGTGGGGTCCAGCACCGGCCGGCACCGTCCCAGTGCTGGGATCCCGGGGTCCCGGCCCATACCCATGGCAGGGCTGCTCGCCTCCGTCGGGAGCTCCGAGATCGCCGATGGCTGCCCATTGGTCACTTGTGAAGGTTTCTGGAGAAAGCTGTGTGTGTGTTGGACACATTGTTTCCCTGTGGTCACAGATGTCCCCAGGTGTGGCCGAGCGTCACCTGCTTCGGTTTTATCCACTTTTCTCTGAACCATTCTTAGAGGGAGGGAAAACTCAGTAGTAGCCTGATGCTAACGGGACTAATGGCTTACAAGCTCGCCGTAGTTGGGTTCCTGTGTGGCCAGACTCAGCAAAGGTGGCGAGGATTATCACCGGGCCCCAAACGCGGTCTCGCTGGGACTCAGCTCTTGTGGGACGTTGTGCATCGTCTCCGTGGAGAAGGCTTTGTCGCAGTGTGAGTTCTCACGGTTCCCGTGGAGGTGACAGCCGGCGCCCTTTGACGTTGCTGCGGGACCCTGTGTGTTGCGTGTGCTGCCTGGTGGAATTCTGTCTTTGTTTCTTTTGCTACCTTGGACACCGGATGGAGACCCTGGCCAGATGTTAGGGGCAACTTTAGGGGACATTTTCAGCCTACGTGACGTCGCCCTGTACATGGTAGAGGCCGAGGGGGATGGGTGTTATGTGGAAAACAGACTGAAGCACCTCAGGCGCCAGGCTTGGAAGTGTACGTGTGTGTGCCGTTCGGCGGTGCTCACACGCTGACCTTCCTTCGGAAATTATTTTCTTACTGAAGTGTATCGTTTAGGACAGTGGTCTCCAACCTTTGTGGTACCAGGCACCGGTGCTCCTCTGAGAATCTCATACCTGAGGATCTGAGGCGGAGCTGAGGCGGTGATGTCGGCGCTGGGAGCGGCTGCAGACACAGATGAAGCTTTGCTACCGCTCACCTCCTGTGGTCTCCTTTTGCCTTTGCAAACGTACTTTTATTCTAGTTTATTTCATATACCTGCCGCAAGAGAAAAAAATGTGTGTTCAGCTTTAAGCATTAGTGTCTCTTTTGAAAGTGCAGAATGGACAGCTCCCTGAGTAGACCCGTCACTGGGATGGATGCCAGGCCATCGTGAGGGTCCTTATGGTGGGGTTGGTGTGGGGCACACCGCAGAACAGCCTGGCAGCTGAGGTTTTGTATAAGCTCAGGTTAGAACCGAAGTGCATTGTGTGTCCCAGTTTTGCTGACAGTCCTGAGTTCTAATCCTGACTCTGCTTCTGCTAAACTGTGCAGTGCTTCTTACCTTCTCGAAGATCAGCCTCATCACCTACCGAACTGATCGGATAATGCCTGCCTTGCAAGGTGCGAGGACCAGTTAGGTGGCATGTGCTAAGTGCCCGGGGCTGTGCCAAGCACGTAGTAAACACTCAGCTCCCAGCCCTTCCTAGAGGAGCTATTTTTATTGTGACTGTGCTTTTTCTTTCTACCACACAAATCCCACTTTCAGCTGTCATTTCTCCCAGCTGTCACCAGGGTTGCGATACAGCCGAATTCAAGAGAGAAGTATTATTCTCGTATCCAAAATTGTATTTCTGAATTGCCCACAGAGATGCTCTTAATAGAAAAATTGAGCACTCTGAAATTCTCCCTGAAAGCTCAATTTGATTCATGATGATCTTGCAGACTCCTACATTCTTAAATACCCTCTGTCCTCATGAATGCACTCGACTATGGTCCTCCTACTAGGCTGCCTTTGTCTGTTTGTAACTTTTTTGGTCTTGTCTTCCTATTAATTGTCATCCCAATCTGTTCTCTGTTCTATTTGTGATAGCCTGTGTTGGCAGAAGAATTGGCCGAGTGATTGAACAGAATTTTCTCTCTCTCCGCCCTGCCCAGCTGGAGAGCTTTTCCTCAACAGGCACTTGGTGACTAGTTTCTTTGCTTGTCGCATTTATTCTATCCACCCTCTCCCCACGTTCCCCCTCCAGGACACGGCTGTGTCCGGGCCAAGGACTCGGCTCCTGCCCTCCGAAGACTGGCTTCTGTAAAGAAGCTGTAACGTGGCTTTAAGTGTTTTTTTTTTTTTTTTCTGGGCTTGAAGATTACAGGTCTTTGAGGTTTCTTTGAGGTTTTGAGGTCTGTGTCTGAAAAGGACGCAAATTTCGGGTGTAGTTTTTAGCCTTTTTTGCGCTATGGATTTGTTTTTTTTCATAATTCTCCTGTGTTGGTTCTCATTTTAGAGCCAAGAAAACAGGTCCGTAGGGCCATGTGGCTTGCTCAATGCGGTGAGAGGCTGGCTGACTGCAGGAAGGCCCCATACCTGCCCCATACCCATATCTTTATAGCATACGATTCAGAGGAAGATTCTCCACACCCCTAAATTCATAGATCAAATTGCATAGACTGTGCATGACCCCTCTTGTGTCTCTCTGTCCGTCCTCTGGTTTGGCCATTGTTGGTGGGACACTTCCATCTCTGGCCATGGCTGGACTAGGGCCTCCCTTGCTTCTGCCAGAACCACATGGGCTGCAGCCGGAGTGCCCTGTAGGAGAGAGAGGGGTGCCGGACAGTCAGCCGCTAGTACTGACCAGGACTCCCATGGCCGTCAGTGCCTCTGGACCGCTGCAAGAATGAGACCGTAGCATCATGCGAAGTGAAATCGGATCGGCATTTCCAAGGCCGCAAAGAATCTGCGTCCTTCGGGAGCCAGCAGAGTTTGTGTAGTGTGCTGATGACGGGAGCTTTCCCTGGGGAGGGGCAAAGTAGCTGTGTCCCAGGCTGTTGGGGACTGGGTGGTGAGATGGCACTGAACCTTCCCTTGGGCACGTGGCCTCAACTCGAGGAGGGCGGCCCAGGGGCTGAGTGGCATTTAGTGGTCTTCGGCACCGTGCTCACTGGGAGGTTCCACTTGGCCTAGTTTCCCGGGTAGGGTGCTGGAAGTGTGGAGTTTATGTTTTGCAAATGTCTATGTTCACAGTACGAGTTCCCTTCACAGGAGGCGCGATGGGGTCGTAGAGCGGTTTTGTAGACTGTGCCCATGGTGCTGCGGGCGCGTGCAAAGGGAGGGGAAAACCCATTCCAACCCAGCAGCTTTGGGTCGCGTCTTCGCAAAGGGGTTTCTGCGCAGACGCATATGGCGAAATTCCCTTTAACCAGGAGGTGATTGTCGAATGTGACTTTGGGATGATGTGTTTTTGTTGGACATGGTGTATAAACTAAGTATCAAATTTGACTCTAATAAATCATGTACTTAATATTTACCTAGGGTTTATGATTTGCTAGAGCCTGTGCCAGCCACTGTTGGGGATACAATAGCGAAAGGGACAAGAATTCTGTCTTCAAGGAGTTTATAGTCGTGTAAGGAATCTGAGACACGTGTAAGTTGCTGTCATAATAATAGCAGCTATTTTTGGGAATGCTTGCCAGGTACCAGGCATTGCGACAGCACTTTAGATACAGGAACTCATATTCTTCCAGATAATCCTGTAATTTATGTGTTGGAGTTGTTCCCACTTTAGGGATGAGGAATTTAAACTTCGAAGAGGTTAAGCAACGCGGCAAAGGCCACTCAGCCAGACGGTGGAGAGGCCGGTCCCCCTGCCCAGGGCCCCACCACACATCTGTTTTCTTGGGTCTGGGGCAGCACACCTGCGAGGTCTCAGGGTCGACGAGGTGTTAGGACTCAGGGGAGGAGTACTTGCTCTCAGCCAGGTGACTAGGAGTGGCATTCTGGAGGAGGGAGCATCAGGCTTGAGACAAAGACACTGGCAGAATAGGGGGACAAGAAGTACATCTTTGGCGGAAGAATTGCCCGAACCCTGTAGCAGGACCGATCTACTCAGCCCTGGGCTGCGGTCCCTGCGAGGCGCTTTATTTCCAGTCTGCCCTGCACTTAGTGTGTCGTCCTCTGGGGTCCCACCCAAAGCTTCTGGGACTTAGCATCCTCTTTCTTTGGGGGACACCTAGGGCCAGCATTTTCCCCACCCGGTCCTGCAAGGATGTCACAGGCCCTGGTCACACCCCTGCCTCTCCATCAGCTGCTCTGGGCTCCGCGGGCTCCTCTGGGGAAGCGTAGCGCCGGGCTTGCGTCTCAGCCCAACTCAACCCAGGTGCGAATCTGCGCACACGGAGGGGGCGTCAGGCGGTTGTCGCGGGCACAAGGTTGGGCAGCAGGACAGACTGGGTGCTCCCCAGTTCCTCTGCTGTCTGAACCGAATCCCTCACACTGAACAAGTCCAGCTGACCTGCTGACGCCTTTGTCCTTTCGTTCTAGATGGGATCAGCGTGAGCGGCTTTGCCCTGTGCAGCCCCTTTCGACAGGTCGTTAGGCCTCGGGCGGACAGCAAGCCTGCGAACCCTCCCGAGGGCGGCAGACCCGGGGACTCGAGTCAGGCGAAGGTGAGTCGGCCCCTGGCGTGCGGCCTGCCACGTGTGTGCCGCGCCCTTTCGGAGGCAGAGGTTTGAGGGCTTTGCAGGGAGAAGAGGCCGCGTGCATTTCTAAGAGAAGCGGGTTCGCGGGAAGCCGGTTTCTCCGTGGACGGCGCCCTGAGCGGCATTTCTGGGGAGCTGTTCCAGCGAGCGTGTCGGGCCTTGGTGTTGCCAGCTCTTGTTTCCTCGAAGTGTTGGAGATTTGTGGGTTGATTGAATCTGTGTGTGGGTTGAATCGGTTTCTGGGATTGAAGAAGAATATTTCCTGTTCTTTTCTTATTCACTGAAACACTTATTTATTGCATAATTATTCTCAGTTCAGATATTTATCTGATAAGCGCTTCTTAATCCTTTGGCAACTCCTCCTCGTCGGTCCGTAAGCATGAAAGAAGCCAAGTGAATGTACGAGTATCAGGTGGATATCAGTGCACAGATGGGGTGCCTCGCGACTTCTGGTGAGTGAGGACAGTGGCTCCAAGTTGTTCCAGGAAAGTTTGAACTAGGAGCCCCGAGTTTTCGAGTCATCAGCACCCAGGAAAGCTCGTCTGAGCCTGCCCGGACGGTGTGTCGAGTGAGGGGACTAAAGATCTCAAGAGCCACGTGTGGGGGGCAGGCGGCAAGGTCACTGCAGATGACTCTTCCAGGAAGCGTGCACTCAGGGCAGCCTCTCGGGGTACTGCTCATTGGTGCCAACCTTTCAGAGGGTACTGACTGATCAGGCCCATCAGAAGGGCCTGGCCAAGCTGCCTGTGCGTCAGTGGCACGATGAATTTTGAGTAATCGGGGCCACTGTCACAAAAACAAGATGAGGGGTGGAGGGCAGGGACGCTGGCTGAAGCGCGGCCACAGCAGGAGGAACGAGCTGGGTTTGGCGCATAGAGGTGGCACCGATGGCTTAGGGGCTCGGTGCAGGGGAGGGTCTCGTCCGTTTGGGGCCTTGTTGGTGCCCGGGAGCTTGTCACTGTGGGTGACGGGCACACAGAGGCTCCGTCGCTGGGCAGGGTGCGTGTGTGAGCTGAGGGGGCCTGGGGTGTAGGAAGACGCTTCCCCCAGTGGGAGCGAAGGCACAGAGGCGTGAAACGGTGTGACACCCGCGAGGGACTATGATGTCTGATGCTGGTGGGGTGGCTTTGTGGCCGGGAGTGACGGCGGAGAAGCTGGAGAAGGGACTTCCTCTCGGGCCCTTGGGTGTCGCTCACCTTATGATAACCAACACCAGATGTCACTGTGTTTCCCCTTGGGGTTCAGGGCCCCCACATCCTGACGGTCGCCTCCTCACTTCGGCTTCTCCTCTGTGTGGCCTTCTCCCGCAGGATGAACTCTTGGGGTTTAGGGGAAAGTTTCACAATCCAGGCCATCACTGTTCACGCTGGGTGGGGCGATCCTGGCTTCGCGTGGATTTCGTTCTCTTCATTTGGGTGCTGCCAGACCGAACGCATTTTTATTAATGATAATCAGTGGGTGTAGATGTAGGCGAATGCTTGTCAGTGTATTTAAATGTAATCATTTCAACATACTGACGTCTATCGAGTAGTCCTGCGTGTCGCGCACTTGTACATAAGCCATTTTAAATTCTCAAGACAGCTTTCTGAGTAGGCGATCTTCTTCTCCAGGGAGGGAGCCCAGGCTCCGGGACGCGTGGCGCAGTGAGTCACCCGCTTGAATCCGTCGGCTGCATGTGACGCTCTCTTTCCCGCCACTGCCCTCCTGAGTTTCACTTGTGTGCAGAGCCCCAAAGCCTCTCGCTTCTGCATTCAAGGCTCTTTATTATTTCATTTTGTTATTTCATTTTTACAATAACGTTTATTTTTTAAAAGTTAATCTGTGCATAGAATAGGAAACCGGAAAACACAAGAAGCAAAGACCAAGTCCTCTATAATCACGAGCAGTTACAGTTGGATATGTCCTTATAGGTCCCCTGTGTGTGTCTACACAATTAAGCTTCCATTTTTAGGTAATTAAGATCGTATAGTTATGTATCATGCTTTTTCACGCAGGAATATTTACCATTTCTAAGTCCCAAAGCTATATGAGTATTTTGATAACCAAGAATACATTACACCAACTCAATCTGGAAGAAGAAAAAATGTAATACTGCCTTTCTTGGTAACAAAAATTTCACAAAGGACAAAAATGGCAACAGGCCTCTAGACAAAGGTATTGGCAGAATCACAATGAAAATACTACATCCCCTCAACAACATTCAGTTAAAATGAGACGTAAAGCGGCGGAGGACATGAAGCATAGCGCTTCTAAGAGAATTTATTGTCTGATCTTTACTTTTAAAATATTAGCAGGGAGGCAAGGTTCCATTGGAATACTGAAGAGCGTGCCCCTGTCGCACACCCAGAAGACGCACATGTGACGGGCAGCATCGCGGTGCAGGTGCAGGCACGTGTGCACCCCTCCCTCCTGCCCTCCTCCTGCCGCCAGGCTGAGGAGCACGTCCCGGCGTCCTGATGTCTGTCTCTCGGGTGTCTTGACAGTTCTAGTCCAAGGTGCCTCTTTTCTGTCGGTTAATCCATGAGTGTGCTTTCGATCACACGTGGTCACCTCGGGGCTTGTGAGATGCGCAGATGTCGCAGCATAAAGAATGCACTTGTCCACAATGAGCACAGGGGCATCCTCAGGATGCACACATGGACCACTGGTTGTGACTAGGACTGTCTTCTAGGTGTGGGGTCCTCGCAAAGAGCCCTCCCCTCCCCTGCTCTCCTTTCTCCTCTACCAGTTCGATGACCAAGCCCAGGACCATGGCTAGCTCCAAGAGGTGGGTCCACAAAGGAACCCCAAAGACAGCCCCTTCTAAAAACAAACAAAAGGACATTTCTGAAAGGATCATTTTACTGCCTCTGCTTTTGATGTCCTGAGGGCATTCGGGCTTTTTTATCCTGTTTGGGGCCCATTGTGGTTCGACCCCACTGGACGTGGCAGTCTGTAGATTCTCTCTGGCCATTTTCCTCAGACCGCCTGGGGACCCTCCTCCGCTAGCTTCTTCCCAAGAAACCTGGGGGAGAAGCAGCACTGTTTCTGGAACGTGCTCTGTGAGCCGGGGGCTGCTAGGCGCTTTCTGTTATTTCAGTCTTTGCAGATGTCCTGTCAGGGGTGGAGACTCAAGTTTTGGGAAGTTATGTGACTTGCCTGGTTCATGGAGTTAGCGGATGGCGGATAGAGGGCATGACTCCACGTTGCTTCCACTCGTACTGTGGTTGGACCCTGGGGAGGATGAGGTTCCCCGTGGGGACCCCTAGCAGGGCGTTCGTTCCAGGTGATCGACCCTGCCCCACCCAAGGCAGGCGGTGGCGGGGGGTGGATCTGGAGCCTCCTGGGCTGGTGGGAGCAGCCCAGAGGCCTCTTGCTGGTGACTGTGGTGGAAGCTCCACACTGAGGTCAGGCGACATCTCTCTGTTGTCCCGGTCTTCTGCGGTTCAGAGGAATTTCTAAGAAGCGGCAAGGCGGGGGTGCAGGCAGGCAGCGGGCGGTGCTGTCTTTTGGGGCCACCTACCACTGGAGCCTCTTGGCTCTGCCAAGCTTGGTACCTAGTCATCCTCCCCAAAGCAGGGATGATGTGATTTAATTGGAAACGTGCTCAACCTGTAAAATGATCACCAAGGAATGGCGTAGTCATGGAAACAAGTAATTCACTGACAGTGGCGTCTAGGGAGGCCCTCGAGAGTGGGGAAGATAGCGCGTGTTTCTTCAGATTTCCCACAACGCCTTCCTCCCCGTTCAGCTGTCCCTGGTCGTGTCTGTCTGCGTTCACGAGTGCTCTTTCTGCGTGCCGTGTGAAGAATCTTCCAGGACAGAAAACAGGTGTGCGAACCGCGTGCCCATTAGGAACGGCGTTCCTGTGAGCCGCGCTCTGCAGCTCGGCCTCTCGGCCTCGGTTTCCTGTCTGTAAAGTGGACTCATAGTGCCTCCTTCTGAGGGTTGGTGGGAGGCTTACACGGTAGAGGAGCCTGGCAGGGCAAAGAAGTAAAGCGGGACCAAATCGAGAAATGGTAACGAACTTGGGACTTTATTCATGTACATTAAGGGAAGAACGAGATCTGGTGAACGGGTCGTGCCGGTCGTTAGGGTGGCAGTGGCCTTGGGGTGGGCAGAGGTGCGGGTCGTGGACCCAGAGTCCGTCGTCGGCCAGTTACTTTGTGGTGCTCAGCCTTGCTTTCCCCAACGAGTGAGGCTCAGGCCTACCCTCTGAGTTACACTATGTGCACAAAATGTGGCGGTGTGGCCGGAATGTGGCAGGGGCTCCAGCGAGAGCCCTCCTGAGGGGGCTGAAGCCTGGGGCCGCCCTGTCCCCAGCCGGGGCTGCAGAAATGCCCGGCGGATGAGCGGAGGCTGCCTACCTGTGGCGGCCGGGGCCGAGTGTATCCCGGAGGTCTCCGTAGCTTTGCACGCCGGAACCACTGAGCTTACAGCCTCCAGGGCTGGACTACACGGGAGAGTAGGAAGCCGGCCGGACCTTGGCGCACAAGCACTTGGGGAGGCTGGACCGACGGTGACCCGTCGGCTAGTCCAGCTTGGACACCGCAGCTGTCCGTCACGTGTGCACGCCGGCCGCCGCGGAGACTCCCATTTCGCCCCTGTCTGCCGCTTCACACCTGCCGATCACCTGCCGAAAGCAGCGTGGAAACCCTAACAAGACCAAGCTCTGCCAGAAGGTGATGGGCCAGGCCCGCCTTTGGTTCTCTGCGCATTTGGTTCTGGGAGCCTGGTGCTCCATGCCCACCCAGCTCGACACCACTTGTCTTTAAAAACATCACACAGTAGGCTCAACAGCCACAGCCATGATGGTAGCAGGTTCGTCCAGGGGTCCCGTACTGGGAGGCAGGGATTGTGCTGGCTGCTCCCTATGTGAGCGAGGGTCTGGACCCCCCACGGCAGGCCCACACGCCGCATGTCCTGTGGTGTCTCTCTGCTGCTCTGACACCCTGCATGACCCGTCCGGCGTGCTCGTGACCGACTTG